ATTTAAAACGACACTTACATGTTATTTTTATAAATAAATAGCTAATTAAACATCAGTAATAATTATTTTTTAATTTAATTTTTAGTCACAGTATAAAGTTGTGAATTTTTTAAAATAATTTGTTATTTACTCAAATAAACGTAAAATCTGTAACTGAGCTTCACTTCAAAATAAATATACTGTTGAATAAGAAATAAAGTTTAAATGGAAAAGATTTATTGTTGTGGTTTATGGGTTCAGCCTCTAAGGGTTCGCGCGCTTTATTATGAAGACAGTCTTTTCTACGCTGATTGTACATACAGGGTGAATAAAAAAAAAATGGAACCAATCTTTGTTTGCTTAAGCTATTAATTTTTTGAAAAAACTAATTGATGAATCATAAGGTACTATAAAAATGCGACGTTTTGTTAAGAATATTTTTTTGAGATATTTCTTTATTTTTGAGTTCTGCAAAAAAATTTTCATAAATTCTTGCAGCTAAAATTTACAGCTATCTACATTATATTCAATTTTCGTCAAAAAATTTTTTACAATAGTTGCCATTTTGACAAAAAAAATCGTATGTATCAAAACAAAACAGAATTTTATTCTTAAAACACGATCACACTTTCTATACCACTTTAATTTTTATTAATCAATATTTTCTGGAAAAAAGATTTAAAAAAAACTGCGTGAGTCTATACTTTTTATTTAACCTGTATGTAAGTTATGTTCAAAACTACCATCTTTAGAGACCCTTTAATTGCTTCAATTTGCATTGTGGTGGAATTTTTTATTTCACTTTTGTACTGGTAATGGAAAAATGATTTTGATGACGCACAAGACTACCGTCGTGAATACGATAGTATGCAATAATTGACCGATTTATCATTCTCTTTCCGATACGTTACAGTAAAAATAGAGTATTTGAGTGTTTAGTTTGTGCTTCGATATAAAACTTGGAAGAATTTTACATCATGTGATGCTGCAGTCAGTCTATATTATTACTTCCTGAAAAGTTCGGAGACAAGTTCAATTCGGGCCTTTATTGCACAACTAAAATTTAAAGTTGCTCACGTCTTATTGTTGTGTTTATTGCTTTATTTACTGACTGTGAGCACAAAAAGAATTGTTTAGAAAAGTTTTGCTTCATAATCAAACAAAATCTTCAAAAATCTTGATAAATTTTTCGTAAAATAACATAGAAACTTATAGCTCGCACATAATGWAAAAGAAAATATCAAACTTAAGATTTCACATGTTGACAAAATCTGATAGTTTGAGTTATACTCGGTGGCGAACTCCCGGTAATTTTGACAAAACATTTTTAAATTTTGACGAAAATTTGATCTTAGTTTCTAGTCTAGTTACGAGTAGTCCTATTTTTCGGTGTTTCACACAAATAACTTATTTATTTCATTTGATCTACTTTCAGGTAATAAATGTAATTATTGATGATAACGTAGAACATTGTTTGCTATAAGACTTACAATTTTATTCCAAAATTAAACATAATCATAAATAGACACGATTAGATAGTACAATAAATTTATTCGGCAAGCCTCTAATAATGAAGCAAAATTTGATGACTCCAAAACCGCATCTCAAAGCATAATTTTTGCTACATGTGTTCAAGAATAAACTTTTATTTGCACACTGATAAAAAAATTACTTCTGGCTGTCCGAACAGAGCAACTCATCAAAATTTAACAACCCCAAACCGGCAGCTATCTACCCCAATAAAGATAAGAAATAATCACAGTGTTTGAGATAACCCTTGCACCATCTTTCGGCACTCGAGTCACGCACAGATCGCCGTCTGTAAATCCACCCCCGGACTGCCGTCGCCACCTATGACTCGGATTCTGCATTAATCCACCCCTCGTAGCAGAAAACAAGGTGACTTTTTTCAAGGCGCGAGTGTTTGTTTGCACATCTTCTGATGCGTTCAGAGTATTATTTATAACAATTATAACAATGAAACATTCACAAACAATGTGATTAGGTGATAAGAGTGATATTTCTTTTCTCTTGTTTTATTTGTTGTAACGGCTCGTGCGTTTGGGGCGAAATCTAGATGAAACTGAATTTTAAGTGACTTGTGATAAAAAAAAATGGGGAAAGCTTCAAATGGTTCGTGAAAAATCAATTCTAACATAAATAAAAATTTATTTTTTGCCAGGCACGAGAGAATGTTGTACGGCAAGAGATGTTTTGTGGTATTTGACTTTTTTTGGTTTTGCTGTTAATTATATGTTAAGGACTAACTTAAACATAGCCATTGTATCAATGGTCAAAACTAGAACCACCACTAATCACACTTTAACAAGTGAATGCTTGGTGGAGAATGTAACTGAAATTTTTGAAAACCATTTTTCAAAACAAACAAATTTGACCGAAAATGAAGTGAGTAAAAAAAGAAAAAATAAGAAATTTAAAAAAAAAAACAAAAAATCTCAAAAAGCAGTTTTTTATTTTGATATATTTTTTAGTTTAATGTCACTCAAGTCGCCCCCACGTCCCTCCTATTCCCCTGGAATGAGAAGCAGCAATCGGCCATTTTGGGTGGTTATTTCTGGCTCCATTGGGTCACTCAGATCCCTGGTGGTATCTTGGGTTCCAAATATGGGACGAAAATAGTTTTCGGATTGTCGAATTTCATTGCAGTCCTTGGGTGCTTTTTTGTACCYATGGCCGCTTACATGGGCCACCACTACCTCCTAGCACTTCGAATGTTTCAAGGAATGATTGCTGTAAGTATTTTATGTAAAACTGTCCTTTCTGAAAATAAATAAAATAATAAAAATTAAAATATTTAATATCAGTAAGATAGGAAGATTGTAACACCAAAAATAGTGGTAAAAATACCAAATAAAAACCCAATTTTACAAAAAATTAAAAAGTTTAAAAGGCGTAATTTATGCCAACAACAATTTGGATAATAGATTTTCAAAATCTAGTAAAATTAACAAAAATTTGTATGTTACAGGTCAAAATTCATCTAAAAATATAGAAATAGAGGTGTCTCAGCGAGTTGAAAAAGTCCATTAGTGACCTTTTAAATGGTTAAATTAAAAAAAAATATTTATGACATTGGTAGATACTAATCTAGTCTTTCGCCTTAAATTATTTTGTGTTTTTTTTTAAATGAAACATGTGTTTCTTAGCGTTTTTAGATGTAGATTTTTATGACAGTGTTTTTAACCTAAACTTTTATTGGTCGATTTTGCTTAGTTTTAAAAATAAGACTGTTTTTTTGACAAAAACATGCACTTCTTAAAAATGTGTTACACAAAAACTAAGACATCTAGAAATATTTTTTTATTACCGAAAAGAAGAAGGTACAAACTATAAGCTTGCAACATTTTTTTAATGTGTTGCATTTGTAAAAATAAAAAATTAAGGCGTTTGCTAAAAGTTCAATAACTTAAAAAATTAAATGGAACACCCTATTTGTTGTTTTCGCATTTAAAAGATTATTAAATTATCAAATTATATTATATATTATAAATATGAATATTATATATTATTAAATATAATTTTTACAAATGCAAAACACTAAAAAATTGCTACAGTTTTAAATTATGTACTTTCTACTTTGCGGAAGTAAGAGAAAAATTGTTCTAGCTGTCTTAGTTTTTGTGTAATAAATTTTTAAAAAGTGGATGTTTTCGTCAAAAAAAACGTCTTATTTCTAAAACTAAGCAAAATCGACTAATAAAAGTTTAGCGTAAAAACATTGTTTTAATGTTTTAATCCAAAAATGCCAAAAAACATACGGTGTTTCATTTAAAAAAACACAAGTTTGTATCGTAACTTATTTTTGGGACATGCTGTATGGTTGAAAATAATTTTAGGTGATGCACTAGATTAGTATCTATCAATGTCCTACACATTTTTTTTTTATTTTACCATTCAAAGATCACTAATGGATTTTTTTTTATTCGCTGGAACAGCCCTGTATGTTTACTTCTCTTATCTGTACTGTTTGCTGAAGTGGCATTTCTAATAATACTTTTTTCAATCGTGTTAACAAAGCAACGAAAAAATAATCTTTAACAATTATTTAGAGGTAAACAAAGTTAAATGATGAAAATCCGTACAATAGACTCGAACAAAAGTTTCATTCCAACATGCTGAAAATTTTCCGGAAAATATTGTTTACGTTAATAGATTTCCTGTGAAAAGAGTTTTTCTAGGGTTTTGCATGGCCAGCGATGCACAACATGACTGCTAGATGGATACCTCCCAACGAGCGAAGCAAATTTGTGACTGCTTATTTAGGTAAATTACCTAAATAGCTAAATGGTTAAATAATTTTTTCCTCTTTGAAGGGAGTTCCATGGGGGCGGCGTTAACCTACCCCGTGTGCGGCTTTATCATCCATCGCTGGGGGTGGGAATGGGTGTTTTACACGTCGGGGCTGGCTGGTACAGTTTGGTTTATCGCTTGGTGGTTTTTGGTCTATGATAGCCCAGCCAAACACCCCCGAATTTCCGAACAAGAGAAAGAATACATTTTGAACAGTTTGGGGCAAACTTACACAAAACATAAAGTAAAATTAAAACCCATTAAAAATTTATGTAAAAAAAATGAAATGTAGGCGCCTGTTCCCTGGAAGGATTTATTGCTCTCGGTCCCAGTTTGGATGAATGTTTTAGCTCAATGGGGCGGTCTTTGGGGATTTTTTACGCTGATGACACACACACCCTCTTATTTTAAGTTTATTCATGGCTGGAGCATTCAAGCGGTGAGATTATTTATTGATTTAATGTGCATGTTTCTTGCTAATAAAATCGGTTAACATTAGAGTTCAAGGTTTAACAAGATCGATAAAACGTTAATTGGAACAAAGATTTGTTTGTAATTTAAAAAAAAACTCAGAAAGCAAGTCGCTGAATACAAAATTAATTATCATAAAATAAATACATCATTTACACAAATACAGCTAGAGGGTGCGTTTCCGCACCAAATCTCACTCAAATCCCCCAGMAAATTGSCTTTAATTTACCTTTCCCTTTGATTATTATTTTAAAATTGTTCCTTGGTAATATCCCATCCCATCTGGAAGAGTTAATCCCGCCCTTGACACGCTTTCTTTTCCAGACGGGCTTCCTATCGGGCTTAGGTCACGTGTTGCGAACCACCTGGGCTTACATCTCCGCCTTGTTAGGCGATTACTTGCTCAGGACGAACAGGATGAGCAGGACAAATGTACGGAAGTTGGCAACGGCAGGATGTAAGTTAAAAATCGCGTCAAAGAACTACAACTTAAGAATCTTGTAACACAAAGATGTAATAAAATTTTTAACACGAATTGCGAGGGAGGTTTATACGGTTGAGTTCACACCAGAATCGTGTTTATCTACGATTTGGGTTAATGATTGTGAATGAAATGTTTGCTCAAGTGAATGCACAAGGCTGAGAAAATGATAAAAGTGTGACTATTTATGTGGAGAGAATAAGATGGTTTGTGTGAGAAATTGCGAGATATTATTTTGAACAGAAATTTCCAGATAAATGAGAAATATTTATCTAATGTTGACGGAAGAACTTTTGTTTTTTGTTACAAAAGCAGATTTATTTATGATAGAAAAAACTCATACTATAAATCATAAAAATAAAGCTTCTTTCTTTCTTTTCTTGTAAGATTTAATAAAATTGTTGCTATCAATATTTAGCTACCAAAAGTTGATTAAAATCTACGGTTTCCAATTTCTTGTTTAAATACTGTGTAAAGAAAGTTCTAAACTTCAACTAAGTTTACACATAAAAGATAGTTACATGTTTTAACCAAGCTGAAAAACCGAAAAATTATCACAAATCGATTTCGGAATACAAATTTAATTTAATAAAGCTATAAAGTAGATAAATCTCAACTTGTAAACTTATTTGTGCCAAATTTTGAAAAACCTGAAAAAGCTAAAAAAACTAAAAAACCTAAAACGAAAACTGAAAAAACAACAAAGTAAAAAACTGAAAAGTTTGAAAACCTCAGATTTCAAATAGTAGAAGTAAAATTTAATTACTTAAAAGTTCGAATTTAGAAACCTGAAAAATTAAAAACATGCATAAACACATTTGAAAAAACTGTAAACATAAAAGTGCTGAATAATCCGAATGAATTCATATAATGTACGAGTTTCAAACCTGAAAACCTGAAAAAAAGTTGAAAAAATTGTATTTTTTAACTACACTGACAGCCAAAAATAACCGGACAATTATAATTTTGCGATTTTTCACATTGCAATGTTTTTGTTAATTTTTTGTCGGATTTCGACGAATTTTTGTTTGGTTTAAAGAAAAAACTTTATAAATTATTGTAATTTAATGCAATAACATTTCTAAATTTATCTTCTAAATGTGATACTCAAAAGACGAAGGCACTGTTTTCTTACTTATTTTTATATTGAGCTGTGGTGTGCGACAGAGACAAACTTAAATTTTTACTGTTTTCAGATTATTGCCCATTCTTTTCTGAATTATGTACCACAGTTTGCATAATTTTAATTCTTGAGACATGAGAGATGTAAACCTTCAAAAAGGCTTTACATTTCCGATTTCAATGAATGTTCGTACTAAATAGGCAAAATAGGCGAAATGGAAGCTTCAAACAATTAACCGTTTTACTTGCTAAAGCCTTTTAAAATTCCAAGTTTTTCAGATTTTTGTGTTCAAAGATGTAATTGTGCTCTTTTGGTGACATAATCAATAATTTTTGGTTTAACTATCCTTTTATGTAGCCTACTTTCTGAACGAATATTTAGTAATATTAGAACAGCAACGTCTTTTTTAGTGCTTTGTATCTCTGGGGCACCAAATTAGTCCTCATTCAGAAAAGAACGGGCAATAATCTGAAATAGTTAAAAACTTAATTTTGTCTCTGTTGCACACTTCAGCTTAGTATAAAAAAATAAAAAAACAGTGCTCTCGTCTTTGAGGTAAAACATCATTTACAAGACAAAACTAGAAATGTTATTGAATTAAATTACAATGTTCTGGAAAGTTTGTTCTTTGATCCGAACAAATATTCGAAATCCGTCAAAAAATAACAAAAATAACGCAAAAAATCTCAAAATTTTAGATGTCCAGTTAATTTTGGAGCCCAGTGTATAAAACTTTATGTTTCACGACTTAGAAAATAAACCTCTTCACGTCGCAATAAATAACGGATAGCCACAAAACACATTTGTGACAGGAAATAATAAAGCAAAAACTCGAATCGTCAGTACAACCATCACCCTGATCGCGCCATAAATCCTCAAATCCCACTTTTCCTTAAGTGCAACTAGAGCAAAATGTCTTCCATTATTTTCCTCAATCACCCAGCATCAGCAAGTTCAAATAAGCGCAAATTAGACATTTATGACAAGCTGCCACCGCTTCCTCTCAATTTTTAAGCACCACTATTCATCGTTTTAGATAATACTCCGACTCCATCCAAACCACAAAAAGCCTCCGGGTGGCACTTGAACTTTGTCGTCAGAAATCCCGCTTCGAATTCATCAAGTTAACAAAAGCTCTGTTTCAGGCACGATAGGGCAAGGGGTTTGCATGCTGGGATTGGCGTTTTCTGGATGCGATTACACGTGGGCAGTGGTCTGGCTTAGTGCCGCCGTGGCCATGAATGGCTCGGTCTCGACAGGGCCCCTGGCCTCCATCGTCGACATCAGCCCCAATTATGCCAGTGAGTCCGAGATTACAAAAAAATCACAATCATAAAATACG